ATAGGTTTCTCTTAATTTCGCTAGAACAGAATAATCACCTGACTAGAATTGTCAAAACGGGCCGGTCCATAGCCTGCCAAAGCCCGCCATTTGGCGGGGCGAGGCGCGGCAATGCAAGCCCAACCCTCCCCCACCACGGGCCGCGGGTTTGGTGGGCTAGGCCCACCGGCTAATTTTTTTTTTTAACCTGCTTGACTTGTTTGAAAACTTAATTTAACTAAAATGAAATTTGTCATGATTAGTACCATTGTGCATAATAGCTTGTTTGCTGGTTTATTTAGACCGTGAAAAATAAAACTCAAGGCCATCATTACTCCCTTTTATATATCAGCATTGACTTATTTTTTGGTTCATAAAAAATCATGATTTGCATTTGGAACCGAGTTGCATAACTGCAGCTTAATTATTGTTGAAGTCAAAATTATAAAACAACATGGATGTGCAAAATGCAGTGAAAATATTCAAGTCCAAACCTTTATTTTTATTTTTTTTTAAATAGGCAAACCGACCTGTGGGCCAGCCCGCACGGACTGGCCCATTTAGGCCCACTTCCCGGCAAGTCTAGAAAAAACAGGCTCAATCAGCCCTTTTTGCAGCGCATGGCAGGCTGGCCCGCGGGCCTAAACCCGTTTTGACAGTTCTACACGACCATACGAAGAAAACATTCCACTTTAATCATTTTGGAAAAAAATTGAAAGGATTAATTTCATATGCACAGCTCATAATCACGATTGACGAACTACTTTGCTAAATTGGGGTTTTTACCTTTGAATCACACTCACCACACACATAAGACCGGTGTTCGTCCAAAAAAAAAAAAAAAAAATATTATGCAAGTAGTGCTCTTTAAGGCAAAACATTTTTGCAAAGTTTATAATTTTCTAATAAATAAAATTGATAGTGGTACACTACTCGTGTATTACCACTACAAAAAAAATGATGAAATTTCAACGAAAATCTATTCTAAAAGAAATATTCTAACGGCAATTCCAACGGATATTTCAATACTATTATTCCGTTGGAATTGTTCAATGGACTCCAACGGAAATTCCAACAAAAATATTCCGTTGGAATGGATTTTTCATTATAATTTCCATTGGATTTGACGGGGGTAGAAATAAAAATTCCAACGGAATTTGCATATTCCAACGGTAAAAAGCCGTTGGAATCATCTAATTCCATCTAAAATTCCAATGAAAAACACATTCCAACAGAATATTTCCGCTGGAATTTCCGTTGGAATCATTCCAACGGAAGCTATACCATTAGAATATCCATTGGAATTTCCATTGGGATATATTACCATAGGATTTTTCATTGAAATATAACAATTTTTATGTAGTATACACATGTATTAATTAAAAAATATGCTTAAAAATAATAAAAAATAAATTTTAAAGCTTTTATTTTAAAATTTTAAATACTTCATAAAACTTTTTTTATTATTCACTACAAGAAAATGATAAAATTCCAACGGAAATGAAATATAGAATTCCAACGGCAAGTATTGATATTTCAATGCTATTAGTTCCTTTGGAATTATTCCAATGGAAATTCTAACAAAAATATTCTGCTGGAATTAGTTTTCCCTTGTAATTTCCGTTGGATTTTGACGATTCCAACTGTACATTTTTCAACGGTGGTGGAAATAAAAATTCTAATGAAAATTCCTACGGTAAAAAGCTGTTGTTGGAATCATCAAATACCATCTAAAATTTTAATGAGAAATACATTCTAACAGAATATTTTCATCGGAATTTCCATTAAAATCATTCCAACGGAAGCTATACCATTGGATTGCCTGTTGGAATTTTTATTGAAATATATCACCATAAGATTTTCCGTCGGAATATAACAAGTTTTTAATTTGTAGTGGTTATTGTTTCAATTATATTTATAAGAATAGATATGTTATTTTATATATGTAATATGTATGTGATCATCAAAAGATAATTAATCTGATATATTATATATGAAAATGTAAGAACAAATAAATAAATATTATGTTTTAGAATATATTTTACTATTTAAGTTGATCAAGTGTTTTAAAATAGTACTCGAACTCTTAAACGAATATATTTTCCTATATGACTACTCCAAAACGCCATAATTTGACACGGAGGATCACGAACACCAAATGTTGACTCATAGAATTAGAAAAAAAAAAAA